TAATAAAAAATATATATATATTAAAAAAAAACTTTAAACCCAACTTCCAAGACCCTGAGACCAGAAGTACAAGATGGTGCCTGGCTACCACTGCTGACTGCTCTGAAACAGATCACAACAGGAGATCCTGGATAGAGTGGGAGAAAAATATGGAACAAAACTCAGTATCATTTAAAAAAAAAAAAAAAAAGACCAGGCGTATTGGTCTCATACAGACTGGTGGAACCCCTGAGACTCTGGCCCTCAGATATCTGTCAAGCCTGGAACTGTACTCACCACTACCACCATTCAACTTTCCGCCAAACAACAGACAGGCCTATAAGGTGACCAGTAATACCAGGGAGGTATGCACTCATTAGAACAATCAACCCATATGAGATCAAAAAGGCAGAATTTGCTCAGGGATAAAGCCCAGAAGACAGAAAGGCATAAGAAAGAAGGATGATGGGAAATGGTAAACTACAGGAAGGAAGTGGGAAGAATGTTGTTACATTATGGGGATTGCAATGAATGTCACAAAACAAAATGTGTATGAATTGTTGAATGGAAAACCAATTTGCCCTACAAATTTTCACCCAAATCACAAATGAAAATTAAAAAAGGAAAAAAATTATGTCGAGTAAAATGTGTAAGGGGTATGTGATTTTTTCAAAAATATTTTGGGAGCCCACTGATCTAAAATGCATATAAAGCTGTTAACCACATAATTAAACAATGGACATTCCTTCAAAGCACATATAGAATATCCTCTCTCATACACACACATACATAAATACACACAACCATGACTCACAACAAATCTCCACAAATGTCAGAAAATAATCATATGCAGTTATGTTCTCTAACCATACTTGAATTAAATCACAAATGAATACTTTTTTTAAAACTTTTTAAAAAAAGTTTTAAAATCTCATATATTTAAAAACATAAGCATCACATAAAACAAAAGTATTTTTATTCTACGGATGTTTTCTTTTATTTCTACTGGAGATAGACATGACATTAACTTGACTTATTGGCAACAAAAGTTTACATTTTTATTCAAATGATTAAAATGACTGTTTACTCATTTAATTTTTTTTTAAAAAGTGCCATTGGGTTGATTCTGACTCACGGTGACTCCACATATGAAAAATAGAATGGCATTCCCTAGGGTTTTCACAGCTGTGACCTTCAGAAGCAGATTTCCAGGCCTATCTTCCAAGGCACATGCTGGACTACAGCTACTACAGCTTCTGAGAAAGCAGTACTTACCCAATTTTGAGAAAGCAGTATCTATAAAAATTTTAAATACCTTTTCAATCCAGCAATCTATCTACTCCTACAAGTGTAGTGTAGAGGCATATATGCATAGAGATGTTTATTACAGCACTGTTTGTAGTTGTAAGGAAATAGAAACAGAGAAAATGTAAATTCAAGGCAAAGGATTTGACAAAACTATAGTAGGAGCTCTGGGGGTGTAGTGCCTAAGGCATGTGACTGCTAACCAGAAGGCTGGCAGTTCAAACCCACCAGCCACTCCTTGGAAGGAAAGTTGGGCAATGTACTTCCATAGTGATACCGCCTCAGAAACCCGAGGAGGGGTTGCTATGAGTTGGATCTGACTCGATAGCAGTAAGTTTGGTTTGGTTTTGGTACGGTAATATAATCCACATGCCACAAACTATTTTGCCAATTTGATTTTAAAAAATGAGCTAAACCAAGAGTAATTGGCATGAATAGATTTTTTCACAGTATGTGTGTGTGCGTGTGCATGTGCATGTGTGTGTTTAATGAGAAAAAGCAAAAAGCACACAGGATATTGCCATGCAATGGGTTTCTCTTTACATATGGCCTTTGAGATTTGGGTTTGGAGTTCTGCCAAGATGATCTGCTGAACCACAATCTGACAAGGGATTAGTGAGTCTAGTATGCAAATAGGGTATTAAAACCACCCAATTGGATTAAGTGATCTTGTAAGAACTAGTTGATTACCATGCAAATTAAATGACTGTGGTTTACCAAAGTGATTTAGTTTGCAGTCTAGTAAGAAGACCATGCCTTGAAATTGACAAGGGATAGGCTTACCTAAGAGCCAATCCCAAATAGGTTGAGGAAGATCTCGCTATCATCAAGAAGAGCCTTGAATAGAGTGTGGCCTTTGGACCCAGGGTCCCTGCATTAATAATCCCCTAGACCCAGGAGACAGAGAGCTGTAACACTGAAGATGGCAAGAGACAGGGTAAAATGGTGTAGCAGAATGAGCAGTAGGAACCAGAAGATTAGCTAACCACAAGGATGGTGGCTCAACCCACCAGCCACTCTGTGGAAGGAAGATGGGGCAATCTACTTCCATAAAGATTTACTGCCTTGGAAACCCAAAGGGGGTCGTTATGACTTGGAATTGATTCGATGGCAGTTGTTTTGGTTTGGTTTAGATGTACATGAGACACAAGTGAGAGATGAAACTGCTCAGAAAGGGGCCTTTAAAAGATGTGATATGAGATTATCTTGGGAAGAAAAAATCTTATTAAAAAGTAGCATTTAGTTTAAATGTAATCACCTAAATAAAATTTTATGTAACACCATTATTCTTAGCATCTGATGAAGGATTTTTTTAAAAAAGACAATGTCATAATTTTCAAATAACAGAGAAATTACACAAAACCAGAATTGCTGAATGGCCAGGTTTTTTTAAAAAAATGATGAATGATGATTTCTTAACATAAGACTCCACATTTAATTACCAAACCCAAAAAATCAAATCCACTGCCATCAAGACAATTTGGATTCATAGTGAACCTATAACAAAAAAAAAAAACAAAAAAGCAAACCAAACACTCCATTGAGTCGATTCTGACTCATAGAAAGCCCTCTTTGGGTTTCTGAGGTGGAAGTAGATTGTCCCGCCTTCCTTCTGCGGTTGGTGGGTTTGAACTGCCAACCTTCTGGTTAGTAGTCAAAAGCCTTAGGCACTGCGCCACCTTAGTGACCATACAGGACAGGGTAAAACTATACCATATGGTTTCCAAGGCTGTAAATCCTTATGGAAACAGACTGCCACATCTTTCTCCAGTGGAGCAGCTATGTGTTAGAACTGACCTTTTGGTTAGCAGTGAGTGCTTTAACCACTGTGAAACCAGGAGTCCTCTACCTTCATTAAAAGTATCAAAAAGGAAAATGAGTGTACATACACATCAATTGTCACAAAGAAGTATACACACCAGAAGAAAATCTGCTACATTAGCCCTGCAGACAGATGATAAAAGACTATATAGTCATGTTTAGTCACACTGATTCCTTGTTCCAAAACTGTAATTATAATTACATTAATTCCATTTTGCTGTCAGTAGGTTATGTTTATGAGTTGTCCTAGAAAGGAAGAAAAGTTGGTGACACTGTATTTTGAGATATATGTTACATCAAAAGGACAGAACCTCAAAAACTCAAAAAATCATTTTAATTCTTTTTCTTTCCCTATATACTGTGTCCAAATTCTGTTGGTTCTTACTTATTAAAATCATTTCCATGTGTTTTTTCTTTTCCAAGCAACTACCAGAACTCAGTTCAGTTCTACATCATTTTACAGCAAGACAACTCATCATTCCACTAATAGTAGCACAGTCTTCATTTTATAATAGGCACAAGGTGGGTATTGGAAATTAAAGATTGTGCCTAACTTTAAAGATCTCACAGTGTGGTGGAAGAGACAGAGAAGTCATTGGAGAATATCAATTCAAGAGGGGAAGTGCAATGATAATAAAACATACACACACACATAAAACACAGATAGAGAAAAGTGCAAAGGAGAGTCAACTCTGGTTGCATAGTAGTTAAAGTGCTCAGCTGCTAACCAAAAAGTCCATGGTTCAAACATACCAGTCTCTCTGTGGAAGAAAGATGTGGTGATCTGCTCCTATGAAGATGACAACGTAGGAAATCCAAGAGGACAGTTCTACTCTGCCTACAGGGTAGCTATGAGATATAATCAACTCCAGAGCAGTACGTTTGATTTGACAGAGAAAGAGAAATCATTTAGCTAGAAGAACAAGTAGGATAAGACTTCAATGAAGGATTCTAAAGAAACAGTATGTGAGATAAACACATTAGAATTTACAGATTCTAGAAAGTATTAAAGAGAAAATATGTCACTTTGAAGACTTAAGTGCACTTGACACAAGCCATTATATTTTCAATGGCCTCATGCATGTGAAAGCTAGACAGTGAATAAGGAAAACCGAAAAAGAATTGATGCATTTGTATTAAATATACCATGGACTGCCAGAAGAACAAACAAACCTGACTTAGATGAAGTACAACAAGAACAACCCTTAGAAACAAAGATGGTGAAACTTAGCCTCCTGTGCTTTGGTCTTATTGTCAGGCTGGACCAGAAGCTGGAGAAGGATATCATGCTTTAAAAAAAAAAAGAAAAGAAAAAGGAGAAAGGATTTACCAAAGCCAAAGGAAGAGGAAAGGGAGCTTAATGCCTTGAAAACTACTTTTGCATCTCTGAATATTCATTTCTTTCTCTTTTCATATTGTTTCTTCTTTCTTAGCCTCCCATTCACTTAATGGAACTAGAACTTTAATCAGAGAGTTAGTGAAAAAGAGGAAGATCCTCAAAGAGATGGATTGACACAGTGACTGCAACAGTAAGCTCGAACATAGCAACAATTGTCAGGATGGTGCAGGACCAGACAGTGTTTCATTCTGTTGTACATAAGGTTGCTATGAGTCAGAACAGACTCAATGCAACCGAACAAGAACAAAATGTTATTCCCAAGTACTAGGCTCCTGAACAAGGCATTCAAAAGTGCTTTCACCTCCTTTGCCAGCCTCAAGATATAGGCCTCAAGCCAGACATACTGGCTTACTTAAACAAGTTCAAATTCAAGTACATGAAACATGGCACATTTCAGTCATTAAACACCAGGATGAATTATAATAGAGTCTGACTTTATTTTTAACGTGAGGCTGCGACTAACTTTTAAGCCCCACCCTTTCCGTACCCTTCTTGCCCACATCCGGGCAAGCCATTAAGACAACTTATGTACTCCAACCCCTGACACCAGCTCAAAGAACACAAATCTCAGTCCGTGCACAGGGCCCTTCATCCTGGCCCATCTTCTAATCACAATAAACACCTAAGCCACTTGCTTTTTCCCTTTTTCAAGCCATTTGGCCAGTATGGAGGCTTACCTTGGTCTCCCCAGAATGTCCCAGTGTATGAGTCATAAACCTTTTCATATTCTTTTGGTCTATGTGTGGCATCATCAGTCTGAACATCTGAACCAGCTTGAGGGCAGAGGGTGTTTGAGCCCACCTTCTATGCAAGAAGAAAAGCTAGATGACCCTACCTCACACCAAATTTCAAAATTAATATTGAGATAAATCATAGACCTAAATGTGAAAGGTAAAATAATCAAATTTCTAGAAGAAGAGTTAGGAACATATCTTCATAACTTTGGGACAGAAAAATATTTCTCAGACAAGTCACCAAAAGAACCAACCATAAAAGAAAAAAAATGATAAATTAGACTTCAACAGTATATTGCTTGGTTTAAAGTATCATATTATAAAGTTTTAAACTCGTAAATCTAATATTTTCTTTGCTGTTATACAGTTTTCATATCTATAATTTTAAACAGCTGTATAACCAGTAGCTCTCAGTAACTTGATGGGTCTCAATCAGTAAAAAGGGAAGCAACTTGCTTTTCCTAAAACAAACTACAAGAGAAGTCAGAGTAGCCTCCCTAACTCATCTGTGTCACGTTAGAAAGAAAAAAAGAAAAGGAAAAATGATTTACCAAAGCCAAAGGAAGAGGAAAGGGAGCTTAATGCCTTGAAAACTACTTTTACATCTCTGAATATTCATTTTTTTCTCTTTTCACATTGTTTGTTCTTTTTTACACTCCCATTCATTTAATGGAACTAGAACTTTACTATCATTAAAATGAAAGAACAACTACAATGGCAAGTCATGATTCATAGCTAATTTTCACTCAACTTCTCAAATTAAAAATACTATATAAGATGTAAGAGGATGGTGGTTAAACTTCATATGCTCTATGCCTTCGGCTCACTTCCTGCATTTGTTATGTAAAAAATGATCAAAGACATTAAACAAAGTAGTTAAGCATTTAATCAGGTCTTAATAACAAAGGACTGAGTGAAAAACTGTTATTAAAGTGAAACATAAAATTTGTAGGATTTTTTTTTAATTATGTTTTAAAGAGTTTGGAATATAGTTACCCTGAAATCCTTATCATAATAGTTTAGAGGTGTCTTTCATGATTTGTAATTTCTTAAAAGCTATATTCTAATAGGCTATTTCAAGTGCAATTAGAACTTTATTTGCAATAGAAAGAAATTATGGGTACATACAGGACTTTGGCAGAGAGGTTTATAAACCAAATAAAAAAACCAAATTCACTGCCATCGAGTTGACTCCAACTCATAGCTACTCCCTTTGGGTTTCCGAAGCTGTAAATCTTTATGAAAGTAGATTGCCCACTCTTCCTTCTGAGAGTGGCTGGTGGGCTTGAGCCACCAACCTTCTGGTTAGCTGTCAAATGTCTTAGGAACTATGCCACCAGAACTCCTTGAGGTGTTTTATAGGGATAGAATTTCTATAAACCAAGAAACCAAATCTACTGCCACTGAGTCAGTTCTGACTCACAGAGACAATGCAGGACAGAATAGAACTGCCCCATAGGGCATTCAAGGCTATAATCTTTACAGAAGCAGACTGCCACATCTTTTTCCTGTGGCGTGGCTGGTAGGTTTGAATCTCCAATCTTTTGTTCGGCAGTCAAGCACTTAAGCACTGTGTCACCAGGGCTCCTTAGACTTTCTATACCAAAAAAAAAAAAAAAAAACCCACGAAAATCACTGCCGTGGAGTCAGTTCCAACTGACTCATAGTGACCCCTTTCTAAGGAACTCTAAAAGAAACAAATCTCATCAACAGTATGGTATATATGCTAGGAAACCTGTAGCTACATGCTTGGACTTAAAAATTATAAAATATTGTACAATGTTACTTAAAAAAAAAGTATCTAGAAGAGACATGTGTAGAGACTATACAATGATTCAGTAATGTAAATTCATAAACAAATTAATGGTATAATAAAGATTGAGAAATTAACCTAAATTCTTTATCAACTAATCTTAAAAGAATACTGCTATAGATTGGGTACAGGTAGATAGTGCTACTTAGAAATGAGTCATTTCAACTTAAAGAACTCCTCCTTAGGAAAACCATTTGCTACTCATTTAAGAAGTAAAACAATACAAGCATATTCATTTAAATAGATGAATACTGTTTGCCAATTTACACTGGTTATCTTCCAGCTAGTGAATTTTATTGTAATTTCATGTCCTATTTCAAAATTGGATACGTGAAAATCATTTCCTCCAACTGATGGTTAATAGCTATTCTGACTTACACTAACAGCTAACTAAACTCATGTACTTTGTCCAAGAAAACAGGATAAATTAATATTATTTTTAAATACTATTTGTAAGACATTTATCTCTAAAACTCAGATCATACTACTATTCTTCAAGACAAAACAAAGCAAAAGTAGACACTAACTCATCTTTCTGTTAAAAGAGCATTTGAAAAAGTCAGGTGCCATGATAATAGCTTCCATGGTGATTTCAATGGCCCAGTAAAATGGGTCAGCTCCACAGAAAGAGTTTGCTGGTCCACAGTTTTGGATAGGCTATAGTGAGGTAATGTAATCCCATCTCAAGAATAAAAAATGATTTCAAGATATACCAAGTAAGAAAAATGTACACATGAGGAGATGTAAATAAGATCTTCAAAAGCTAACTGAAAAAAAAAAATTATTTGTCAACAGCTTTACAGTATTTAATCAGGAATTTAAATCAGATACATAAATATTTCAAAACATTGGTACTTTGCTTTAATGCTGTTCTCAGGATGTAGCTTTAAGATTATCTTATGCATGAAATATTCAATAAGATTTTTCTGTCACCTTATTGTTCAGTAAACATTTATGGGCTTAAATTTGTTTTGCTATCAACCCCAAGGTTGGGCAATCCTACTTCCGTAGTGATACTGCCTCGGAAACCCAAGGAGGGGTCGCTATGAGTCGGGGCCGACTCGACGGCACATAACAACAACAACAACATCAACCCCAAAGCAAATTCACCTTAAATTCTACCCTAGTGATGGTTTCATTCTTCACACATGTGAAAGCACAACTGCCAGCCACATAAACATAGGGGAAAAAAAAGATTTAAAAAAATTATCTATGATAGATATCATATTAGAGTAGTATAATTAAAGCAATGATCTATTAAGAATGGAAAAAATGCTGGGTTTTAATACTTACCACAAACTTTAGATGCAGCAATACAAATTTCTTCAGCGACATACTCCCCAGTTGGAAATCTCAGGTAATCTTCTTCAGCTTTCCCAAGGGAATGGTAAAGATACACCTGAAGGACTGGCTCTGTCTGCTTCACAGAATTCGCAGTTCCAGGAATATCACCATTCTGATGTGTAGGAGATGCAGATGTTCCTTCCATGTCTGTCATAGTAAGGCAAGCCATTCCCGTGCAAAGACTTTTTCAGAACATTTGCCTATAAGACAAGATAATAAAGTTAAAATGAAAGTGATATTTCTGAGGTATCCTTCATGTACAAAGTCATGAAGCAGCAACTGTCGAATCCATGAACTAAACAAACATTGTGTACTTATTATACTCCGTACATACAAAACACAGCACATCACAGACAGATTCAAGTTATCTGTGGATGAGGACCGTATGATCCAAATTTACACTCTAACTGAGGAACTCTACTGTAGAACTCTACTATAAAACACTGACAAAACCAACAAACAAAATCAGTTGCTGACAAAAGAAGAGATGCTACACGGCAACACAGTTACTCAACAAATGAATCACTCTGGCGATCGATTACTGAAAAATAACATTTCAAGTTGGGAGGACCTGATGAGCTTTATCTGAGGAGGTTAGGCTTAAAACCAATCTTGAACAATGCACTGGGTATAGATGGATGGAGAAGGAAGGACATTCCAGGAAAGTGGAACTGTGCTGAAGAATACAAAGGCAGAAGGTACAGGTATGTCCAGTAATTTGCTGGGCTGAAGTGAAGTATTCAAAACGTTACACCGTTGGAAAAACAAAAAACAACCAAACTCACTGCTGTCAAGTCAGATTCGACTCACAGCAACCCCTCCTTGGGTTTCCGAGGTGGTATCGCTATGGAAGTAGATCTTCCTTCCCAGGAGTGGCTGGTGGGTTTGAACCACCAGCCTTCTGGTTAGCAGTCAAATGCCTTAGGCAGGAAAGGATTAAAGAAGAAGGATACTTGTGATGAGCTGTTAGCTGTCTACCCAGTAAGCATGTTCCCCTTTCTCATTGATACAGAACCCTAATTTTTTTGGAGAAAGCAATGTGCCCAACCACAACAAGAACAAAAAAAGAAAACTACACTTTTCCTGCAGCCATGTGAACAGTTTCAGCAAATGAAATTTAAGCACAAATTGATGGATACTTCTTCCACCACTGCTGATATGCATACTTTTACCCCTTCACTTTCTTCCTACTTAAACACAAGCATGAATTTGGGGTCAGATAATCACCTTAATACCATGAGGCAACCGTGAAGGAGAGACTGAGAGATTTTCTCCTTAAGCAGCTGAATCAATGTCAGGCATCATCTACCACCAGACATGTTACTTGCAAATAAATGCAACCTTAACTAATACAGTGCAAAATCAAAGAAGGCTTGAATGTCAGATCAAAGATTTTAAACTTTATCTCACAGGTAATGATGAATTAGAAAGGCGAAGCAATGAACATTGAGAAAGCTAATGCAATAGTCCAGAGAGTAATAAGATTTTTCAACGGAAGCACCAGCAAATGGATGATAAGAGGCAAAATGAGAGCGAGACTTGATACAACCTGGCAACTGACTGAGTATGAGGAGGGTAGAGGCGTGAAAGATGGTGTGGGATTTCAGACTTAGGGGTACCATTACCAGACATAAGGAAATGAAATTGGAAGGTAAAAAGAATAAGGACTACTGGGGCAGTTTCAGCAGAATGAGACTGCTACTTGAAGGAGTTTATAACTAGAGATGAAAATTTAACAATGCTCCTCATAGATATTATCATTTAAACCATGAGCAGAACTATCTGAAGGGAAATTAAACCAACCACACACAAAAAGCATTTACTATGTGCCAAGCACACAGTTCTAAGCAAAAATATTAAAGGAAGGTAAAATGCCTACTGAATAAGTGAAAATACAACTTGGAATTTAGTTCCATATCCATCAATAAGGACCTTATTCTGTTACAGAAAATACTAAAGTTAATCCTAAGTTATTTAAATAATATCTATGGGATTTTCAGTTAAAAAAAAAAAAAAGATTGGCAATTATTTTAACAAATATTAAACTGCAATGTTTTAGAAGTTCATCTCCAATTCAACATGCAACTTTAAAAAACTTTAGCTTGTTCAAAAGTCTGTAATTGTTCTTTTAAAAACCATTTCTTATAACCTATTACACTGCCGTTACTTAATTAAGGAGCTCTTAATTACACTAAAAGGTCAGTGATTCAAACCCACCAGCCACTCCATGGGAGATGAGGCAGTCTGTTTCCGTAAAGATTTACAGCCTTGGAAACCTTATAAGGCAGTTCTACTCTGTCCTAAAGTGCTGCAATGAGTCACAATTGACTTGATGGCAATGGCTTTTTTTACTACTCAATTATAGAAAGCCACAGGGATCCAGGTAAGGAGAGGTTGGAGAGGTTTCCAACAGCTAAGGGAGACAAACTTGTCTGTTAGTTTGTCCTACTCTGGTGACATGTGGCTGTGAGTCTTGAGGCCGTGCCACTGGTGTTTCAAGCCCAGCAGGATGCACATGGTGCACAGGTATCAGCCTGGCTTGCAGACTGAGACAGACTAGAGAGAAGGAAGAGGCCATCCACTTCTCAAAGAATTGGCCAGGGAAAACCTTATGAATAGCAGAGAAACACTGTCTG